AATATTGCTTTCTCGTAAATGTTACAGCTAGCAAGAAGTTGTATAAAGATATTTCATAAAATTATAAGAACTTATAAGTTTTTAATCTTACAAGATCATGTTAGTCTTATGATTCTGTTTAGAATTGACCTGTTATTTATTTTATGGATGTGTGTTGATCTATCATTCAAAAATGTTTAAGCTTTTTAGATTAATATTTAATAGACTTTAATTTGTACTGTATGTGTACATTGTATCCAATCAAATTTATTATTACTAACTTGTCTTGTAAATTACTAAAGTTATATTAATGTTTTTCTATAGTTATATATTTTCTAAACTACCAGTCAGCAAGCAAATTATAGCTTCAAGTGCTACTTATCCTGGGGATTTAGAAACATTTCTACAAACTTATATGTCCTCTCCAGTATTAACATCACCAAATATTGATGGACCAGTTTTGATTGGAATCAAACAATTTGTGGCTGTGGTTCCGACACATCCTAATATGATGAAACAGGTTTTTATTTATGAACTGATAAAAATTAATTTTATTAATAAACATTGTATATAATTTATCTATTCATATTTTTAGGTACAAACAAAAATTGATGAGTTGATAAAAATTTTTACCAAGATTCCATTTAAACAAAGCCTAGTTTTTTCAAATTATCAATCACGGTATGTTTTTTAATTATTTCTTAATTATTATTTAATGTTTAATATTTAATTAATTTAATATTTCTATTTCTGTTATTGCAGGGCTCAATCAGTAAGTAATAAAATTAATTCATTAGGATTTTCATCTTCATATATTACTGGAAATCAAGATATGACTAAAAGATTGGAAGCGATTGAAAACTTAAGAAATTTGGAATATAGAATTATGTTAACCACGGATTTAACTGCAAGGGGTATAGATATAGAAAATGTTAATATGGTCATAAATTTGGATATACCTACGGATCCGGCAACATATTTACATAGAATTGGCAGAGCTGGTCGCTATGGATCTTATGGAATTTCTGTTACAATTGTTACCGAAAATGAGCTTTCATCGTTCAGAAAATTATTAACTTCGATTAGTGGAGTGAATTTTTACTTATTCAAGCTCAGTTCTGATTATACAGAAGATGTTTGGACTGATGATACTTCAGTATTTGAAAAAATTTATTTGGAATCTGAAGTCTCATCAGAATCTAGATCAAAATCTCTCACAAAATTGCCAGCCATTGATAAAACTGTTCTTGAATCTGAAAATGGTGTTCCTATAACAATATCTATGTCAGAACATATGTTTTCTTCAGTAATTGATGACACATCAGAAAATAATGCAAATACTTCTATTGTGAAACATGAAGAATATAACAATGTTTCACCCAACAACACAGCAAGCAGTAACATTTTGTCAACGGAAAGTAATGTCACTCTTATAGAATGTGAAAATGTTTCACCGAAACAAATAACGATCAATATGTCAAAGAATGTTGAAAATACTACTAAAAAATGTAAATCATCAAAAAATAGAAAAGACCATAAAATTGTTTCTAATAATATATGTGTAAAATCAAAATCTAATTTAGATGAAAAGATAAAAATTAGTTCATTATTTCAACATTATGTTCAAAGCAAAGCTAATTCTGCAGTTAATACTTTTAAAGAATGTAAAGAAATATCAACTATAGAGCCTGTAGTTGAAAATTCTGAAGAAAGTAAAGTATCAATTTTAAACTCATCCAGATCAAGAAATCTATATCAATTTACAATAACACCTAACTCCAATGCTCCTTCTGCTTTGGAAGAATTGAATAAAGACGTCACATTTGAAGTAGCTCTATCAGATACAGAGAATTGCAAATTATCAGATGCAGATATTGAAAACGTTATTCGGTATATGAAAGATTCTCTAATTAATAAAGAAGAAAATAAAGAAGAAAATGAAAAAGAAGAAAATGATGCATCAGTGTCTAACCACGATAAAGAGTATAACGATGAAAAAATGTCTATACAAACTTCTCAGGATACTTTTTCTACAAAAAATCCTGATTTTATGAATAGTTTACCTATAAACGAATTGGATAATAGTGAGAATGATCACATACGGGCAATAATAAACAATTATTTATTAATATATGCTACAAAAGTTATCAACAGTGACAATAACATTTGTAACGATGAAGAATCTTTGTTGAGAGTAGCTTCCAAATGGAAAGAGTTACTCGAGTTTGAAATTAATTTATTAAATAATAAATATAAAGGCATGACTGATTCTTTTTATAAATTAATATATAAAGAACATTTTTCAGCTCTTAAAACTTTTCTTAATATACAGAAACGGGCTTTCTTGTGTGTTTTTCCACAGCTCCGTAGTGATAAAGAGGTGCAAGATACTTATACATATTCAGCATCTAATGCAGATAATAATTTATTAGATATGTATGAAGAAATAGAAGATTTCAAGAGCCGTTTCTATATATTAGGAACTAAATTTAACGCATTTTTCCCTTATCCTATAAATATTGATGAACATATGCCGAATTTAATGATGTCAAACTCTGAGATTGAAAAATATCGCAAGGCATTACAATATTTTAGAACTTATCAAAATCCAAATGAAAAAATATTTGAAATAATAGATTACACAGCATGTTTAAATGAAACTGAAACATGTGATTTGATTCAGAAAATAAAAGAACAAAATTTATCGTTCTCGGATATGAAAGCGCTTCTTAAAGAAACAGCAGAAAGGAATACAAAAGATGATAAATTAACGGAAGATTTACAACTGTCTGAAAATTCTTCGAAAAGTGATAAATTGACGGAATATTCACAAATGTGTGAAGAGCTGCCACTTTTGGAAAGTCAAGATGAAATTATATTGCATAAGACTGTTGAAGTAGATGCTCCAACAAATATAATAAAGGAAAAAGATTCGAAGACAAAGAGAATGCAAAAAATTCGTTCCAATCAAGTTATAGTTGCCAATGAAGATAAACATAATGTACAAAATACGAAATATGACATTTCCATTAATGCGATCTCTGATCAAAGATTGGAGAATGAAAAGGTAGAAATTTTGCAAATAAATGATGAAAACGATGAAATTCATACCTCAAGCGAGAATATCTCATTTACGTCATTTGAGAAGGATGTTATGTATTCAAGTAGTGATAAAGTTACTTTGAACAATCGACAGAAAATATCGCTCTCTAATAGCAATAAAAAAGAATCTGACAAGAAAAATGTTCAACATAATAAAGTTAAAAACATACAAACTAGATATACACCTGTACAAACAAATAATGTTGTTTACAATAATGTGGATGTGTTTGGCAAACATATAAAGTCTCATAAATGTGATCCAAAGGATAGCATAGATATAAGTAATTCGATCGCCTCCGCAAGATATTCAAGGACATTAAATTCATCTACAAGTAAGAATGCTAAGAAAGTTCCTTCGTTGAATCCAGTGCAAAGTTTTTATCCACGAATCCCAGATTCTAATTTATGTTACGATTTAGGTGCAGAAGATGAAGTTTATTTGTCAAATCAAATTTATCGCGATTATTGGAACGAACGTGTACCTGTATGTTCTTTTCGTATATATCCACACGTTCAATCATTACGATCTAATCGCATACCACGATACTCGAGACAGAAGACTAATGATAATTATACAAATTTAAAAGCTCACAAATCAGGTGATTTAGTAAACAATGTTTATTCATGTGAAACTGATATCGACAGATTTTTATCGTCGTTGAGAATGCAAACTGATCAATTGCATCTGGAAATCTACAAATCTCAAATGTTGGAAAATTAGACTAAGTAAGTACGATTAATGATCATGCGTAATTAAATTAATAAGCGAAACACAGAGTATCTTGTTTGTTCAGTTATGCGAGGGACGTTCAAATTGTACCGCGAGCGCATTTTCGTCAAATTCTTTCTCACGATGTGTTTATTATGATCAAGCGGCGGCAAAGAATAACATGTGAATCGATAGCGAAAGGTCACGCATCGCAGGTACTTAACACGCATCGACGAGACTTGAACTGTGTGCCGGAGGTAACCTTTTCTTACCGTTTCGACGCTATCTGCGGTTATGCAATTGGGTTGATCTTTCGCGATCGAGTCTTGTAGAATCTTATCGAATATATATATTGTCGGTTGTCAGCAATAAGGATACTTTATCATGTACTATCATTTTCTTTTTATAAAAATTAATGTCTATTACTCATGTAAATATCATGCACTTGTTTGATAATTTACAAATCATGATTTACATGTTGAGCGATCAATAAGAACAATTTTTTTTTTTCTGTATATAAGTATTTTTTTTATCTGTAAATATGTTTTATAATGGTAATATCAGACTTTTAGTTAAAAATCCGATTTAACAACACTCGCATTTTTAAATGAAAATAACGAATAAAATAAAATTCAGAAAGAAATATGTAAATTTGATTAATGACCGTTTCTATCAAAGTAGATTAACTTTTTATCTTTTTCTAATTTTAAGCATTAGAAAAGGACAAAGAGTAAGTGATAGCATCAGATTGCTCCTAATCCTGATGAAATGAACTGCAATGTTTACAAAACGTTGATATTCTAGTAATGAATTTGGACATAGAGATAATCGAAATGCATAGCTTTTGCATAAAGAGTAAATTAAGAATCTATCTATTTTTTAGTAGAAATTAACATAAGAGTATAAAAACATTAATAGAGGTATATAACGTTTATTCTAACGCATTCTAACGTTGAAAACCTGTAGAGATCTATTCGACAGTGACTCGTTAAAAACTATCCAATCTGTCTGAATAAATTTATTCATGCTAAGTTGTCAAATAATATTCTACGACATTCGGGTTCGTCACTGTCGGCTATGTTAGAAGGATCGGGTTTCTAAGGCGTCCTCATCCTTAGGGGGGAGGGAGGCTGGGGGGATGGGGGGAAGTCCGGGCTCCTAGAGCAAGAGAAAAAAGGGGAACCACCTCACGAAACTCGTCTCGTGAGAAATTCGGAGTAAACCCTTGTCTGGTGCCCCTGTCCCTTTATTCGCGAAATGATTGTGTTTGAGGTGCGCGCCTAAGAGCATGAAACTTCAGTCGATGACCACGTGCTTCCGCGCGAAGCAGTGCGTCGCGTGCCCGCGATTCCCAGTGTCCGCGTACATTTCGTTGTCGTGGTGTTAATTGGAAAATCGATCGTTTAACTCGCGCGTTCCGTCGGTCCAGCGATCGTCGTATTTTCGTCGACAATCGGTAGTCAGGTCCGCATATCCCAGGATCGCGAGATATGTCGTATATACGTAAGTACTTCAAGAAGACGCCGGTCTATGTCGTGGAAGACCACGATGAGGTGAGTGTATTCGAACGCCGTTCTTGCGTCGTTAATGTCGTTACGCCGCGGATGTTCTGCCATCAACCGTGTATTATTATTATGCGATTGCGTCGCTAGATGTCGCGGCGTTTGTGGCGCAGCGCGCGCTCCGATAAAATATAATCCGATTCCGAAACTGAAACCGTTCGTTATCCGTTACCTTTATTGAAGTATGCTATACGAAATTAATAATTTGGCTTTCCACTTGACACAAGTCGATACAAATTAACATAAGCGTCGTTCTATCCTTCTTGAGAGGAGAGAATTCAGAGAGTGACAAAAGGTCTGTTTTTTTTGTAGTTGAATTATTTAGGAAAATAGAATGGATTAAAATGGATTGCAATTTTTTTCTATCCGAATGCGTATTTTAAATAGCGAATACTTTTTTTTGGATTCAATTAGATTCAATTGAATTGAAAAACTGCATTTCTCATTCAAAATTTTGAATTGAACCGTATTCACAATTGTGTGCACAGAAAAAGCTAATATTATTTTTAGGTTGAAAGGCATAGAGATATGCTCCATGCAATTCCTATAAATGAATAAAATGTATTGAAAAGCATTCATTTTAACATTCGTGAATCAATATTTCTGAATTCATTTCAATCCATTCTCGTTTACTGGGTAGTGTACACTTTTAGAACTTGAAGTGAGATACGTATATGTTTGATATTTGTTGAAAATGAGAAAGAGAGTGTTAGTACAGTCTAGTGCAAGAACAGAAACAGACGAAAAGGTAGAACATTTGTGTCATCAAATGGAAATAAGCACCCTTAATAATACCTATGTGTGTCTGTATATACAAAGTACAATCAACGCAATGCTTTGAAGCGTTTTTTAATTAGTCAGTTTATAAAATTCTTTCTTTTACTTGATCCATCAAACGTTTCTAAGTATTTAATTATAGGGAGACTTTGATCACAGTCTATCTGTTCTAAATATCAAAACTATGTAGATCATATATACTACATCAAATTAAAATAAAAGATTATAAGTATATCCTCTTTCTTTAACGATATTATGTATATATATTATGTATATATATTTTTATATAACTATACATAGGTTGTATATTTCTGTATTGTAAAGTACGCCTCAAAAATTATCTTCTAATACAGTAAATAATCATTTATTATACACTAGAGAGTTTTTGCAATACCGTTTTATATTTAGATACACAGATGAACGCTAAAAAAAGTCACGTTATTTTTTTCTATAATTAAGAAAAGGATAACATACGTGACTTTAAATGTAAATGGATTAAAATGGATTGAAATTTTTTTCTATCTGAATGCATATTTTAAATAGCGAATATTTTTTTTGGATTTCATTGGATTCAATTGGATTGAAAAACTGCATTTCCTATTCAAAATTTTGAATTGAACAATATTCACAATGTGTGCGTTATGAACAGAAAAAGCTAATATTATTTTTAAATTGAAAAGCATAGAGATATGCTCCATACAATTCCTATAAATGAATAAAAATGCATTCAGGATTGAAAAGCATTCATTCGTGAATCGATATTTCTGAAAATCTGAATCCATTTCAATTCATTTCAATCCATTTTCGTTTGCTGATATTCATCATATCTGATTCACGTGAATTCAATTATAATAACATACATTATTGCGAAACTAGCTCATGTTAACTTAAGTTTATATTATCATAAGTTTATATTCAGTAAATGAGAATGGATTAAAGTAGGTTGAACTTTTATCCGAATACTTTTAAGAGCAAAAACATTTTTTTAAATTTAATTGGATTCAATTAGATTCAATTAGATGCAATTGGATTGAAGAACTGCACATTTCTTACTAAAAATTTTAAATTGAGCAATATTCACAATGCATAAAAAAAGCTGATGTTATTTTTAGATAGATCGAAAGGCATAGAAATGTGCTTCATGCAATTCCTGTAAATGAATAGAAATGTATTCCGGATTGAAAAGAATTCATTTCAACGTTTACAAATGTATATTTCTGAAAATTTGAATTTATTTCAATCTATTTTAATCCATTCTCGATTACAGGTAAGAAATTGACCATTCACTGTCAAATGTGAGAAGAATAATCGATTTTATTCCCTTCACATTCGACTGTGATTAGTTAATTTCTTACAGTTTATAGTTTACAACATATATAAATTAACAATTTATGGCTAATATAAATAATCCTTAACCATTCAGCAAACGAGAATGGATTAAAATTCAGATTTTCAGAAATACGGATTCATGAATGTTAAAATCCTTTTCAATTCTGAATGCATTTTTATTCATTTATAGGAATTGCGTGAAGCAAATGTACATTCTTTTTCAGTCTTGAATGCATTTTTATTCATTTATAGGAATGGCATGGAATACATTTCTATGCTTTTCAATCTAAAAATAATATTATAATATTTTGTGTGCGTCGTGAATACTGTTCAATTCAAAATGTTAAATAGGAAATGTAGTTTTTCAATCTAAATAAAAAAATGTTTTTCTTTTAAATGGGTCATGAATGCTATTCAATTCAAAATTGTGAGTAAAAAATTTTATTTTAAAATGCATCATAAATACTATTTTATTCAGAATTAAGAATAAGAAATTTTTTGTTTTAATTCAACTGAATTGAAATAAAGTTGTACCATAAAAATATATCGAATTCTACTTTATTTAATAAATATTTAATAAACACAGTTAAAAGAAAAAAATAAAAAGTCCTATGTACATAAATATGTATAATAAATGTTACATATATAAATTACTTATTTTTAATTAATAAGTTAATTGCTTTTGTATATATTAATATGTTTTCATATTAATATGTTTTCTTCATTATACAGCTAGCATATATTTTGTGTATAAAAGTTTTAAAATAATAACTATAAAAATTTAATTACCATTTTAATTAATTACTATTTTAATTTATTTAAATTTTTAAACGTAATTTTTTTATGGAATCCAATCCATTTTTATGGATTTAAAATATGGATTCGGATGGATTGAAAATTTTCAATCCATTTCAATCCATTTTGTTTGCTGAGGCATATATAGCACAGATTTTTAAGGGATGTTTTGAGAATGTCCAATGTTAAGAATGTTTTCTGGGATAAAATGCTGTATGAGAAGGGCCTATCATCAATGTATTAACTTATTTCTAAGAATTAGAAAAAGATAAATTCAAAGATTAATTCAAATTGAGAGATTGAGATTAATCTTACATTAGTGGAACCAAGTCTAATTTATTCTTCAAATATTGTTATATATTGTAATATATAAATATATGTATTGTTTGCGTCGCAAACAGATACTAAAAATTTTTGAAAGGAAATAAATACATTTGAGCGTTAAAGAAAAAGAAAGCGAAGATGCTTAGTGTAAAAATAGCAGCAATACGAACAAATTTATCAATATTAATTTTATAATTTATAGGTATTTATTTATTAATGAATTCAATTGGATGCACTCAATGCCCAGTAAATGAGAATGGAATAGATTCAGAAATTTCGTATTTGAGAACGTTGAAATGAGTCCTTTTAAATCTTAATGCATTTTTATTCATTTATAAGAATTGCATAAAACATATATGTCTGTGCTTTTCAACCTAAAAAAAAAATTTCAGTTCTTCAAGTGCATCATGTGGATGCATCAATTTAAAATTTTGAATGGGAAATGGAATTTTTCTATCCAATTGAATCTAAAAAAAGTTTTTCCATCTAATTGAACCTTAAAAAAAGTAAAAATGGATCATGAGACACGTCAAATAACCGAGAATCTTTGAAACATCGTCATTTTTATTAAACATTATTTTTTTAATTTGCTAATATTCTATAGATAAAAATATGAGACATGTGTTTCGCAAAAAAAATTTGAGATTTTAAAAAAATTCACAAATTATTGTAAATTGCAGAAATTCATAAAAAATGTTCAGGCGAACATTCAAATTATTATATCGAAACCAGTCGTACAAAAAAATGCAAAACCGATTTAAAAAATTTTTAATTCTATGGATAGATTATTTTTACTTTATATTAATTTTTATATCGTATAAATTATTTTCTATTTATTTATTATTTTTATTAAAATTTTTTTTATCACCAACTCATTAATTAAAAAATTTTGTAAAAATATCCTCATATTAATTATTATTTCAATTATAAAGTAACCCTGAAAATTTCAAAATGGAACTCGAACGGACTATATAGTTTAAAAATTCTGTTGTGTGTATATGGTATGCAGAATCGCCGTCGCAAAATAGAATTTTTGAACTGTACTATTCGAAAAATTTCATTTTGAAATTTTCAGGAGTTACTTTATAATTGAAATGGGAATTAATATGATGATAAACAATAAATAATAATAAGGGTCTACAGATTTTTATGTATTTCAAATTCTTAGAACATACATTTTGATCTTATTATTAAGTTATCCTTAGTGTAAAGAAATTAAATTTGACAAAATTAATAAAACGATTAAATACAAATTATACATATAATTTATAGTTACGCAAAAAGTTGTAGTATTTCTTCATATCTATCTTCTGCAATAATGCAATGCTTTTCGTTCTGGTAATATTATTGGTTATATTATAACAGTCGCAATAAGTCCATAATGATAAAAATATTGAATGATGAGTCATTAAATAAAAAAATACACATTCTCAACTGTGATTGATAAACCACGATATAATCAGTAATGAAACAATGAGTCAATTTAATTTGCAGGAAGCAAATGCGATCAGAGATAAAAATTGAAACTATTTCAGTCAAATTGCTTGTATTGTATTATTCTGTATTGTATTATCTTATATTATTTCTTTACACTGAGGATGATTTAATAATAAGATCGAAACGTATGTTCTAAGAATTTAAAATACATAAAAATCTGGCTTATAGCTTCTTCTTGTTATTTATTGTTTATTATTATTGAGCCATTATAAGATTATTTTTATTTAATATGATGATATTTATACAAAATTTTTAAATTAGTGAGTTGATGATAAAAAATGTTAACAAAAATTGTAAACAAATGGAAAATGATTTATTTATACAATATAACAATTATGAAGTAAAAATAATTTATTCGTAGAACAATTTAAAATCATTAAAATCGGTCTCTTGCATTTTTTTGTACGGCTAATTTCAACGATATAATAATTTGAATGAACGACATTTTTTATGAATTTCTGCAACTTACAAGCGTGAATTAAAAAAATCTTAAATTTTTTTCGCGAAACACATTTCTCATATTTTTATCTGTAGAATACGCAAATTTAAAAAAGAGATAAAACGATGTTTCAAAGGTGTCTGGTTGACGTGGAATACCTCAAATATAAGTGTTATTGTTGAAGTACGGCATTCAGATAGATTTAAATGGATTAGAATTGAAATTCTAATCCATTTTAATCCATTCTCATTTACTATAAGGGCCTGCGCACAATAGAACAAATACTAGGAATAAATATTAATTATTTCAACCTATCAGATACCAGTTTTTATCAGATTCCAGTCGGAATACGCAGTTTCTGGTAGGTTGAAATCTTAATATTTATTCCAATTCCTAATATTTTTTCCATTGTGCGCAGGGCCTAAGTGTGCATCGGTATATAATATATTAAAGTCATACACAAAATGACGTAAAAATGCATGCTTAATACAAATATAGAAGTAGTTGTAAATCGTGAAATCTTTAATACACTTTATTGTTAGATAAAATATGTATTTTATAATTTAAAATATTTTTATTTCACTTTTACACTTACATTAAATCAACTACATTATGTACAACTTTAGCAGCTTTAGCAGCTTAATTGGTGCAAATTAAAGCTTCTAAAGCTTTAGAAGCTTTAATTTGCACCAATTCGCACTAGTGTGCATTAGAATTTGCTCATACAGCAGAATTTACACAGAATTTGCAGCAATATCGCTGCAATATTACTGCATTGTTGCTGCAACTTTTGTGCTGTAGAGATGGTGAACTTTTAAATGTTTTCAAAGGAAGACAATCAGGATTTTGCTAAGAATAAAATAATAATTATTCAATATTTTATAATATCTATATATAATATATAAATCCCGAGGATTTTAAAATTTATTTGTATTTATATAAATTTATTTATATAAATAAATATTTATTGTAAATTTAAATACTTTAAATACATATTACAACTTTGTAACGAAATTAATTGAATTCGAATATACTTTTTGATTGTCTTGAAGTTAGAGTGAGGAGATTAGTCTGTGATTATCTGATCTAACTTCAAATTATCAATTTCAAGAGTTTAAAGTTCAAGATCTCAATGCCAGTTTGCGCGTCGATAATAATCGCGAACTTGCGCGAGATTCAATTTTTAAACAAATACATTTAATAAACGCGCTATGTTTATGATATTTTTACAGGTTTTACCGTTTATATATCGGTGTATGGGATCGAAACATCTGCCCTTCGAAGGTAATACCTTCGTACATCTGGATTCACATCCCGATATGCTGATACCGAAGGAGATGCTGGCTGATAGAGTGTGGGATAAGAATCAATTGTTCAGGTACGTGTATAGATATATGTAACAATCATATATGTAGATTTTGTATGATATTATATTTGTTCTTCAGTGAAGGATATCGAATATAATCTTTCTTTGGCGTGCGAAGAAACTTGAATCGAATTCTTACGAATTAAATATAATGCATCGATATTCGAGATATAAAATTATCAAAGATGGCTATCAGCTTAATTTCGAGGAGTTCACATTCAATCCAACACTTGAATTGTACTTTTCATTTCTTTGCAATAATACAAGTTTTATTATCAAACATCAGTTTCAATGTATTTTTTACAACAGTTGGAAATTTTGTGACAATTATTATAATAATTAAATAAATATAACAACATAAAATTATTATTGTATTATAAAATTATTATTTATAAAATTTACCTATATCAAAAATTTTATAAAAATATAACGGGTACTTATATCATTGAAATAACACAGAATTTGAAAAAATCCTTACGCATATTGTTTATTTCATGCGTATAAATGAAAATAAAGTTTTAGAAATTAAAAAGTTAAAATTGTATTACAATCTCATTAAATTTAATTGATAGCAGAATAACAAGACATCATTATGATATCATTATAATGTCAAAATGACAATGTTCAAAATTATCATTAAAAGTCATTTTTCAATCATTTCCGATTTCATTTTAATGTCATTTTAACATTATCGTGAAAATTATTCTGTTTGGTTATCTATAAAATTGTATAGATACAGATGCAAGAGCAAGTAATTCTCTTATTTTATTATTTTAAATACTTTTGTCTCATCGTTATTGAAACTTGTCGAAATTAAGTTTTTTCTAATCTATCTTATTTTATTGTGAATGATTGTTTTTGTTATTTTTATTGATTGTTTTATCATTTCTGAGATAGAATTTGTCTGAATTAATCTAAATATTAGAGAGAGAAACAGAGGATATCAGAAGTAATTTAATTATTATAATATTAAATTAATATTTAATTATAGTGCAAATGTATAAAACATCCTATTTTTTGATTTGTCCATACTAAACATTACATATTGTATTATTTCTCAAGTACAATGAGCGCAAAAAAAGAAAAGAAAAGAACATATGAAGATACATAATAACTTTTTAATCTGAACAAATTTTATAAACGAAAAATTATCTATAATAAGCATTTTGTTTTTTCAGTGAGATTAGCATCGAAAATTGGATTCTGCCTGCAGCGTATGCGGGTCATTTTAAGAACCTGATTTGGGTAAAACCACCATGGGCGAATCAGATGACTGATGGTGTACTGACGTTCCTCATTGGCAAGCAAAAGGAGACCGGCTTGATAAGGTAAGTGTGTATATCATATATTTTTTTCATATATTTTTCTGATTATACATTCGAAATGTAATTCTCTTGATCTACTTCTAATTCTTTTGATTTCGGATCGTTTTTAATTAGCAAAACAAAATTTTTGTTACTTTTATGAGATTGTTCATTGTTTCGTAATTTCTCTATTAATATAGAGAAAAGCTTAATAATATTTAAAATAACGCGAATTAAACTCGAATGATTACAAATAAAAATTTCTGTGACCAATTTTAAGTTTTTGATTTCAATACAGTTTCTCTCTATTGAATTATTCTGACGTAGGCCATAATATTAATAAAAATAATATAATATAAAAAAATATTCCAGAGATATAACATAAATTCTAATAATTTGTGGGTTATTAACTTCTTTGAATGCGCAGATCTCATTTCAAGTTCATTAACAGTTCCTGTTTATAGTTTCTTGCAAATAAAATTTTCTAATAAATTAAGTACTGGATATGTAATTATTGATCGCGTTATTGTAAATTATTAATTGTGTCATGAAGAAACTGAATATTTTGAAATTCAAGTACCGCAACACTTGTCGCAGACAATCTCCTTGTAAAGGTATAATTTCACACGGTGGTTGAAAGGTGGTAACATGCGCGTGACAGGGAAAAGTCATCGCGTATATTCAATAAAGAAAGACATAGGTGACTGTATAGAGTTGACGAGTCAAGAGAATGAACGAGGAAGAAAAAGACAACTAAAATAGCAAAAGGGAAGTCGACACGTCGCGTCGCGTCACGGCAGTATATACCGCGAAAAACTTATGTGGTTCGTCAAGACTTGAGTTATGTTTCTCATATTACCGTGGATGTATGTCTATGCAATGTGAGTGAAACATGCGCATTATATCATTATGTTCTTTTTTATTTATGTTTTTACTGATTTCTATTAACTACTAGCTTTTGATATAATAGCTTTTTTAATAGCTTTTGATATACTAGTTTTTGATATAATTGATAGCTTAGCCTCAACTATAGCTTTGGAAATTATACTTAAATTCTAAAATGTCTTGTTTGAAATACATAATACAAATAAATCTTCTCCTTACGATGATTGATAGATGAAAATTCAAAACTTTCTAAATATTTAGAACTTCATAGTACCGATCGTACAGATTGTATAATTGTCCAAAAATTTTTGCTTTGGGTTCAAATGACCCATTGCTACAATTGAGGGTTTATATATATATATATAGAGTAGTATTTTAAAACTAATTATAATAATCGACTTTTATTTATTGAAAAGATATTTAGTTGTCACACTGAAAAAAATATAGTTAATTTTAATAAATGAATACTGTCAACTAAATATTTATTAAATATAAAGATATATTTATTTGATACAAGAAATGTTAATTTGATTTAACAATTTTTCTTTATTGAACAAATATTTATTTACTGTAAGTAAAGGTTTAGTTGGCAGTATTGAAATAATATTTATTAAACTTAACTATATTTTTTTCTCAGTGCAGATACTTGAAATTAAAGATTTAAAACAAGAAAATTTTCTAATAATTTAATTATTTATGTGATAGCAGGGATGCTAATTTGTTTTTTATAAAAATAAGAGGACCATAAATTATTAAGTAAGATTAATTTTTATTTTATTACTATTGTTACTTCTCTTTTTTTTAAAACAAGAACAAGGGTTAATATTATGATTAATTCAAATTATTGGAAAATTTCATTCAAATTAAAATCTGAAATAAAAATAGTATTAATATATTATTAGTAATTTTATCATATATACATAAATATTAGTAATCTACTATTAACAAAAGAAAAAGGATTTTAAAAATTAAAATTACATATAAATATTCTTTTTACTTGTATATATTTATAATTTTAAATGATTTTTAAGATATTTACATTTAATTAAAAATGATAAATCTTATCATGGCTTTGGCTTTCGTTAGTAAACTCTAAGTAACTCTACAAGACTTTTGATGTTCATATGTAATTACTTTAATCTGATGACATACAAGCATATGTTACTTTTAATAATCTTTATATATAGATATATATTGATCTTTTCTTAATTAATTTGAGTAAAGTGAGATTGCATATCTGATGATTTATGCGCTTCGAATAAATAACTCGAGTATTATCTTAAAGCATATGACCCAAATTACATTTGTCTTCGAAATTTACGGAGTATTTCAATTGAAGAAAAAAAAAAGAAGAAAAAACATAAATTGCGTATCACGAAAAGAGGTTAATGTGATCTTACCGCAATATAATAACGGGAATGTTCTGAGACAGTGCTTATAATATTAAATTAATGTGCATCAGCTCGTTATATTGAATTACACTTGAAAAAAAATTTCTCAATTATTGATAATTGCACCGTCATACTGGGCTTAGGACCTTCGGCAATGCGCGACACCAAGATCGATAAGATCAGAGTTGGTGTGCGATCGCATCGGCTACTTTTTCGTCGAAGTTATTCATACGTAATTGCCTGTACCCACGCAGGTGCCTGTTCCGCATCATTCGATTTCCATCGATGTTTGTCCCGCAGGATGTAAAACCTTCTTGCTCGCGCTTGCGTGGCATGCAAGCTGCTTTCTTCTCTTAAACGCCTAATGCGGGATCCACGGTACTACTAATTATTGCTAATTACTGTTAATTTTAACATCCCTGTCGACTTTGCTCTTAAATTGGAAAGTAATTGGAATTAAGACACGATTAAGAATTTTTCACATAAATGTTGAATAATATTGATTTACGAATTTATGATATTTTTTGTTGCAATATATATATATATATATAAAACAGTCACTATGATTCGGATAAATAAGAAAATAAAGTTAACATATTTAAATTTATATTCAAAATAATTTGTTTAATTTTGTTAAATACTGAACTATAATAAGCATTAAAAAAATTTGAATTTTAAATAATAAGACATTAAATTATATATTATTGAATTAATGAAAAAAAGTATTTTGTGTCTTCCTAATCTTGATTACTTTAAACATCTTAATCTAACGCTATCATCTCTTTCTCTCTCTCTCTCTCTCTCTCTCATCTTTGCTGAACTTTTTTCACTTATGTCAAAAGATCTAAAAAGATCAGTTGTGGATTGCGACAATGGACAATGGCGCAATAATCTACAATAGAGATCCACCTGGAGATTTCATGTCGAATAAATAGGGTCCGTAGGACAATCATCTCGTAAACTCGACTTCCTTACGTGCCCTTCTCATCCACCTCGTGGATTGTTCTTTTTGTGCTCTGTTTCACATTTCGTAGCTCTCTGCACAGAGCGGCATTTGAATCGCCTACTTATACGAGAGTGTCGAGCAAGAAGAAAGCTTTTCATTCGGTTTTATGTAGAATAGTTTCACCTGAACGATAAAGTATCACAAGATTGTAAGTACCATTTGGTCAGTGTTTCTCACTGACTGTTTTATGTGCTTAGTTTACATTTTTTATTCTTCCAAGATTAAAATCGTGTATGAAAGCATAAATATATAATATTTTTAGAGTAAAACATGAAATGCGCGATATAATTATTCCTCTTGCATATCTACTCACGTAATCATGTAAACGTTTTTAAGCATTTTCTATTCTCACATCATGTCTCGAAGATCTCGTACATTCCGCGATTTTCTGGAAAAACAGCGTTGATATAACGAAGTGCGCAAACGTTGTAACATATTCTCGGTGTCTAGTAATAAATTCCTGCCATAGTTAAGACACCGCTTATGTACCGGTATTCTGGTACGAATACTAGTACGGTAAAAGCTTGTTATAGCTTTCGCTTAATGATTTGATCACATTGCTTAGTGAAATACAACATTGATTTCTACTTCTTTTTTTATTACATAAATTATGTATAAATATTTAAATAGTTTATTGTATAGTAGATTTCGTCTATCAATGATCAATCTGACAGTCAATTAATAACCTCAATAAAAGTAATTATTCGAAATATTTATTTTATATTAAAATATTATTATAATTTATAACTTCAAATTGATACTATTGATCTAGCATATTGCAATATTTTTAGTATATATTTTATATTATTATATATATA